TCCTTTATAAAATACTTATAAAGAAATAAAGCCTTATTATTAACAGTTAGTTATATTATAAGCTAGTAAATAAACTAGTAGTAGTTTTATTAAAAAAAACTAAGGCTAAGATTAAAACTTAAGCTATATAAGTAGGCTTTAAAAATACTTTATAGCTATTAAAGATATATAAAAATAAGGACTTAATAATAATAATTTAAGAAGATATTTATAAACTTTTAAGTATTTTAAAATAGTTATTAAAGCTAGTAAATAATTTAATTAATAAACTTCTTAAGCTAGTTAATAATAAAATAATTAAAGGCTACCTTATTATTTATATAAAAGGGATTATATATAAAATTAAGGACTATATTAACTAGATTAAGAAGAAATATTAATAATAAGCTAAAGCTAAAGCTTTTTAACAGGCTTAAAAGATAATTACTTAAGGTATTTAAAATAGTCTTATAGCTATAAAAGAATAAAACTAATTAAAGATTAATAAAGGCATTATAAATAATATTAAAGCTTAGAAAAGGGATAATAAGTATAAGTGTAAGTATAAAATAAAGGATATAAAAGAACTATAAAGCTAGAAAGGCAATTATTAATAATAGACTAAGGCATTTAAAAAAATTAGGATAATTTTCCTTTTTTTTTTAGGGGGGCATATGTTAGCCTTATAGTATATATAGTATATTAGCCTTGCTTAGTTAGTTAGTTTATAAGTATATAAGCCTATCTCTTTATATAGTAGTAAATAAAGGAATTAACCTTTTTACACTATTTATTAGCATACTAGTAATAGCCTTAATACATTCTCTTTTTATAACTATCTTAAATTTTAAGGGCATTTAGTATATACTAGTAATACCTCTTCCTTATTAATAAGACTAAGACTACTAAAAAGTAATAGCACCTTAAAGCTAGCCTTTTTACTAAATAATATAAAGCTTAAGAGAAGCCTGTAATTATCTTTATTACTAATTAATAGCTAACTTCTCCTACTACTAATAAAGATTAACTTAAGCCTTCTTAAGCAGCTAAGAGTTTTAAAAATAATCCTTAAAAATATACTTATATAGAATTCTATATGTAATTATAATTATATAATAATAAATTAAATTAAGGGATCTTTAGTAAGGTATAAGGTAAAGCTAAAGCTATAGCAGCTTAATAATATAAAATAAGATCTAAAAGTAAATATTAAAAAAGATAAAATATAAGGCTATTATAACCTTATTTTACTATTACTATACTTTAAGGCGCGCCTTAGCTGCCTAGTAAGTTTAAAATAGCTATAACTTTTTATAAAGGACCTTTAGGTTACTAGTTAAATATTACTAAAGGAAGCGCTTAAGGCTTATATATAAGGATTTAATAATAAAGGTTATAAGGCAGCTAAAGTAAGAATACTAGTTAATAAAGCATTTTATAAGCTTCTCTTTTTAAGGATTAATTTAAATATTAAGTATATAATCTATAGCTTTTTTTAAATACTGCCCTTTACCCTTAAATTTAATAAGAAATATATTAAATTTAGCCTTAGACTTACTTATTACTAACTTATACTACTTTATAATAAATTCCTTAAATTTAAGGTTATTTTAAATAACTTTATTACTACTATATATTAGCTTTAAAAAATACTTTTTAGTATTTAAAATAATATTTATATTAATATACTAATAGTATAAGATATATAGTATTTTATAAAAGTCTTTATAAGTGTTTAAGGCATTTATTAAAGTAAGCTTATAATTTATTACTATATATTATAAGAATAAAATATTATGCTTTTTAAGGAATTTAATAAGCTAGTAAATAGCCTAGCTATAATCTCCCTCTCTCTTACTGCTAAAGAAAATTATAGTAACCTAGAATAACTTCTTAAGTAAAGTTATACTATAAATATTAAAGAGAGGCATATAAAATTAATTTATTTTATATATACTATTAAAAAGTATAATCTTAAGGAACTCTTAAAAAAGCTTACTGCTGCTTTAAGGCGCTATAAAGAGATATATAAGTCTTTTATCTTTATCTTTTTTATTATAAAAAAAAAAGCTAGATTCTTACTAAAATTAGTTATATAGCTACTTAAAAGGCAAGCGGCTATAAAGCTTATCTTAGTAATACTTTATAAGGAAGTTAATAATATCCTTTTATAAAATATTTTTAGCTAAGGCCTTATTACTTAATGCCTTATTGCCTTTATAAAGCTTTATTAAAATATTTATAAATATAATACTAGCACTAGCTATTTTAAGAATATTATTACTATAACTAAAAGTAGCTTTATAATAAAAAGATATATAAGCAGTAAGCTTAAAAGTTAAATAATTATACTAATATAACTCTATAGTCTCTAGCTATTTAAAGACCTAGCTATTATCTTTCTGCCTTTTAGCAGTAATTTTAAACTTACAGTCTGTTAATTAAGTTATTATTTCCTACTGCTTTAACTTATAGGCGCTAGTCTTTACCTTATAGTATTATAAACCTTTATAATAATGCTAAATAATATATTTAGGGTTAGTTATTAGCTTCTCTAAGTGTATAGCCAGTCTTATAAAGTTAAATCCTACTGCAGCTTAAATAGCAGCCTTATATTTAGCAAGGCTATTATAGGCTTAGCTTATAATTACCTATAACACTAGTAATACTATTAGGAAGTTAGGAATAGCTTTAAAACAGCATTTATTAATAAAGGCTAGGGCTAAGATTAAATTAGGATAAAGGCTAATTTTCTCTTAAGTAAATTTACAGGTAGGGCCAGTTGCGGCATTTAGCCATAATTAGGGTGCTGGATAGCCACCTTAGGATGCTGGCTAGCCATTCCCTAAACAAACTGCATCTATCCATCCATCCGTCTCTCCTTCAAGCCCAAAGGCGTGTGTGGCGTAGAGGGGCTGCAGTGCTACCGTACGGCTGACGACCAATATGCACTGTATCGGCACTCCTGTAACAGGCGCCTAGGTATCGTATCTCATGTGCAGTTCAGGGACCCGTCCACACAGTGCGTCATCGCTGTCCTTGCGCCCACTAGTGCAGCGGCCCCTCCAATGGCAGCGCTGGCATTAGCTGGCAGATAAGCTACAAGAGCCAGCTGGTGCCCGGTTCAAGGCCTTGGACTCTGCCCTGGACAGCATCGCGGACTCTGATCGACCGACTCCAATCCTACAATCTGCCTTTTCGTTGTTGTTACCATTGTTGTTATTGTTGCTCTTGCTCTTGCTCCTCCGTTATAATCGCCATTTTTTCAGGCACTCAATCTCAAATCACGCCCCTGAAGCAACCTGGAATTGGTGAGTCGGCCCTGTGCTCATACAAGCGCCTCCGTGGTCACACAGTTGCCATACGGTATGCATGACCGGATGACTAGTTCGAGCATCGTCGGCCATTGATTGCTCGTCCTCTTGCGTCCAATTGAGCAGCATCGTGCGAGGGGCTGCCCATTGCCTGGAACTCAAGGGACTGCGATTAATGGGCGTTGGGTTGCGTCTGGCATCGGGCCCCTTTGTGTTGCAGCCTCGGTCCTGTGACATGCCGCCTCTGACTCGAGCTGTGGAAAAGGGTCAACCGAGCTCCAGCTGACGCTTTGGATTGCTTCTCTAGACAATTACAACCCATACCGAACCGAAAACCTCTCGATAAAGAAATTCGCAAGCTTCTTCTTCTTATTAGCTTCGTCCTGCTTCACAATATCTGCATCTTTTAAATGATCCATACACTATGACCGCACCGACAATGCAGCAACCTGTCGTCCCCCCTCGTCCGTCCAAGAGCCCGGCCAAGGAATTCCTGGCTCCCACATCCTCCTCTCCTGTGATTCCTCCGCGACCGGCCAACAAGCGCCTCGACCGCTCAAAGTCGCCCAACCCCGACCGATTCGCGCAGTCGCCCTTTACTGATGGCGTCATACCTCCCGTCAAGTCCCTTACTGGAGAGTTGGGCACCGGCAGCAATGGAGGCTCCCAGGAGTCTCTCGACCACAATGAGAGCGTGCCGATGCCCTCTGTGGGCGAAGAGGGCTTGGAGTACAGCCTTATTACCTCCGAGCTGCAGGGAGAGAGCACCGATTCTGCGGAGCAGACTCGCTCTGTGGCCGAGGACCTGAAGCTCCATGCCCCGAAGCCGTCTCTGCCGGCGTCGAGCGCCAAGGAGCGACTCAAGACGGTCACCCGCACCGATTCGGACAAGGCTGCCTCGTTCGGCATTGGAAAGCCGGGATATCTCGAAGGGCGTTCAAGCTCTCGCAACGGCCTGAGGAAGAAGTCCAGCACCAGCTTCTCCACCACCAGCGAGCAAGACAACCAGCTCGACGATGAGCATGGCATCCCTGAGATCGGGCAGCGGGTCCCCATGAACCCGCATCTCGGAGACGTCCAAGCCCCGTCGCCTGCACCAGGCTCCGAAGGAAACGGCAAGAATCACAACCGCAGACACAGCTCTCGTGGACTCCCCCCCGGAAGCTATGGAATGCACGGCCACGGCGTGGAGTCGCAGGATGAACTCGACAAGGCCTACTACAAGAAGCACCCCGAACTGCTGCAGAGGGAGCTTCACACTCCGCTCTATGATCGTCAGAATGACTTTGCCATGAGCAGCAACGATCTCAACAAGCTGGTCCGGGACACGGCCAACCGTAGATCTGGCATAGGTTGGTGGCCATTGCTTGACCCTTTCATCATCTTGGCTGCTTTGGCTAATTGTAACTTCCAGATTTCCACGAACATGAAGGAACTCCCAATGACGAGGTTGCGTTCCAAGCCAGCGAGGAATATGCCAGCCGCATGGCCACCCCGCGCCCCGTCTCCATTGTATCCAACAATGGCACGCCGCTGGAGGATCTCGCATCTGAGGACAAGCCCATTCACGTGGATGACCCCAAGTATCCCGAGCACTACGGCTATGGCGCCGAGAGCCCCGTTGATACTCCTGGAGACGACTTTGAAGCGCCGATCCTGGCTGCGGACGAGATTGAGAAGGACGTGACCAAGCCCGCACAGCATCCGGCCATTCGTCCGCACCTTGACCGCAACGTCAGCTCGCATGATGGCACAAGCCGTCCGACCAGCCGCCCCAACAGCCGACCCACGAGTATCTACAATTCTCTCAACACCCATGAGTTTGACCACACTCCGCTCGAGGATGTACACGAGTACGAACCTCTGTTCCCCGATGAGGCGGCCAAGAAGGAGGAGGAAGAGAAGCGCGCCAGCAAGGACAGCTCCAAGGCGCGCCACCACTTCCCTAGCAAGGATGTGTGGGAAGATGCACCGACCAGCCACCATTACACCACTGAGGTGTCGACCCCTGACAATGTCGACGAGGAGGAGGAGCAGCACCGAAGGAAATCGTCGACGCACCACGACAATCGCCCCATTACTCCGGCGCAAGCATTTGCCATGCAGCAGGAAGAGCTCGCGGAGAGGGAGGCAAGTGGGAAGAAGCACAACTTCTTGCCCATCCTGGAGCACAAGCCGCCGTCCTGGGTGGATCACCAGCCCCATTTGAAGAGCGGAAGGTCGAGCGCGAACCATAGGTTCCCCAGCAAGGACGTGTGGGAAGACACCCCGGAGAGCCTGCTCTACGAGGCCGAGGTTGAGGAGAAGCCCAAGGATGAGAAGAAGCCCGAGGTCCCTGCTCGGCCCTCCAAGAAGTTGGCTGAGTTGCTGTCGCACAAGCCTGCCGTTCCCGACCGTCCGAAGCCGAAGACGCAGGCTAGTGACGATGCCATCAAGCCCTCGATACCTTCTCGCCCCGTCAAGAAGCTCTCTGGCGACTCCAAGGAGGGTGAGGCTCCAAAGACGAAGCCGCCGATTCCGTCCCGGCCCGCAGGGGGCAAGATTGCCGCGCTGCAGGCTGGTTTCATGAGCGACCTGAACAAGCGCCTGCAGCTCGGCCCCCAGCCGTCAAAGAAGGAAGAGACGGAAAAGGCCGAAGTCGCGGAGGAGAAGGAAAAGGTTCCGCTGTCTGACGCAAGGAAGGGTCGGGCTAGAGGACCGCAACGTCGTGCCCCGGCCCGGGCTGCGGCTCCGGCTGCCGCCCCGGCGGCTACGAAAGAAGCCACTCCTATCACTCTGTCCATTTCTCAGCCACAGACAATCTGGAACATTGACCCTGAGCAGGGCGATGTTCAAGTTGCCTCTGACTCTGCTGATGTACCTGCAAAGGGAGCTGCTGTGGAATCGGAACAGCTGCCGCCTCAGCCAACAGAGAGCGAGAAGGCTGCTGAATTGGAAAAGCCCGGAGCAGAGGAAGAGGAGAAGAAGGAGCCGGAAGTTCCTGTCCAGGTAGCGGAGCCCGAGGCTCTCAAAGCATCTCCGGAGCCCGTCGAGTCGACAGAGCGTGCAGCTCCCCAGCCGGCGCCGGCATCTGAACCTCTGGCCGAGCCTGAAGAGACCAAGACGGCTGAAGCCGCTAAGGGAGAGCCCGAAAAGGTCGAGGAAGCCGAAGAAGCCAAAGAGCCCGAGGTGATCAAGGGATCCGAAGAAGCTGAGAAGCCAAAAGAGCCTGCGACGTCAGAAGAGCCGGCGAAACCAGAGGAACCCGTGAAGTCAGATGAGCCGGCCAAGTCAGATGAGCCGGCCAAGGTAGAAACTCTGGCGGCAAACATGGCCGGCGAGAGCATCTTGGAGGCCAAGGTGGAGCAAAAGGATGACGCAAAGGAGATTGAGCCGGTGGAAGTCAAGGACGAGGTCAAGTCATAGTGTGGTAATGATGGCATGTCTTGTGCGTAATCTACCGTTGGAATCTCTCAGTTCATTTGGGCTATCTAGAACTCTTGGACCTGATTGTATCGGTATTGCAAGATGTATCAATCTGCATATGACTTGCTTAATGGAAGGTGCCATTCCTTTCAGTTGGCATCTATGATGAAAGGTTGTTTATATTTCAATGGTGGATTGAATGCGTAAAAGTGCGTTCATGACACTAAGCATGATACAATGAGAATGTGAATGTATATCCCAAGGCGATACCAAACTAATGGCATATATATATATAATACAAGGAGGCCAGCCTCGAGTCCTCATCAACAAACCTTCACCTCCCCCACGGGCCCCTCTCCGCCTCCGCACCAGCCCTCTCCCTCTCCAACAGCCGATCAAACTCGCGCTGCGCCTGCTCCTTGGCGAGGCTCTTCTCCTCCTCAGCCTTGGAAAAGGAGTAGCTGCTGTCGCGCGGGCCGCCGGCATCAGCTTCTGCACCCCATCCACCTCCGGACTGTGGCTTTTCCCACGTCTGCCGGCCCTGCTGGGCAGGGGGCTGGAATTGCGCCTGCTGCCGGATGCGGTCCCATGCTGAGCCTCCGCTGCCCGACGAGGAGGTGTTGTTTCTTGCGGAGGGGGCAATGGGGGAGGCGTCGTCGAAGTCATCTGCTACAGGAGCATCCCACGGATCGGAGGGCTGTGAGGACTGCGATGACGATGTCGCCGTGGGATTACGATAAGACGCCCAGGAGGACTGTGTCGGCGCGCTCTGGCTCTGCTGCTCAGACTCCCTGTACTGGCCACCGCTCTCATGCTGCGCCTCCGAATCCCAAGCGTCATTGACCTGCTCGCGATGCTCCTGGTTGCCACCAAACAGCGTTGCGCCCTGAGCCTTGCCGTCATGCAGGAGCGCCCGCAGCCTCGGATCCTGCTCCATGGCCGAGCGCTGCCGCATGAAGTTTGCGCCCTGGAAGACGGGCTCGCCGAGGACCCAGAGGGTGGTGTAGTAGGCGGCGAAGCGGGCGCTGTGCCACATGAACTTGAGGCCGGGCGAGCCGCCAATGGGGCTGAAGCGCTTGAACTCGGGCGTGAAGAAGGGGAAGCGCCAGGTGCGGCGGCCGCGATACGTCATGTAGGCGGCGAAGCCCGTCATGGCCCACTTCCAGGCCAGCAGGTTGTGGACGCTGGAGAGGAAGTGCTCGGTGAGGGCCTGCGTCTCCGAGTCGGCAAAGGGCCGGTTGTTGACGGCGGCGAGGGAGAGCACGGTGGACTCGGCCAGGGCCAGCGTCTGGGCGCGGCCGAAGCCGCGGAGGCGCGCGTAGAGCGGCGCCTCGTAGTCCTGGAACAGGCGCTGGATCTGCTCGCGGATCTGGGGCTCGAACTGCTGGCGGTTGTGGACGGCGCGCTGGCGGCGCTCCTCCATGGCGGCGCGGGCGGTGCGGATGTATTCGGAGCGGCTCATGGTCTTGGGGTCGGGAGGTTTGGGGGGGCCGCCGTCGCTGGGGCTGCTGCTGCTGCTGCTGCTGCTTGTGTTGTCCATCTTGGTGTTTGCCTTGATGGAGAGCTATATCAGTTTGAAGAAGAACGTATGATGTGAGTATGTAAGTGGGAGCAATTGGAAGTTTGGGAACCCCGCGGAATCCTGGCCGAGTTTGTCGAACCACATTCGACGCTGGTTGAAGCAGCTGTGACGCAAGACACTCCAAAACGCTGACCAGGGGTGCTGCACGGTAGCTTTATCGATAGGCTACCCCACGTGATCGGGTAATGCTAGCTTCCAGGTACTACTAGGTACTCGTACCAGGTCAAGTAAGGTACCTAAGCTTGCCGTCACTTTAATGTTCTCCATGTTGATCTGTGTTTATAGCGGTTGTTGCAGCAATTGGCGGGGCGCGACGCGTTTCAATCGGCGCGTGTCGACACTTCTGCCCTTTCAACTTGTTACTAAGGCGTAAATTGAGAGTCAACATCAACCTCGCCCAAACAGCAATTCGCATCTTGATTGCTTGTTCAATGTGAAGCTCTGAGACACTGCAATTCGCCCGTCATGCCGCTCCAGAAGTCGTATTCTGAGCGCATTGGGCTGCCGAGGGTATGTTCTGTTCTTGTTTACTTTCTATCTTATCTGGTGCTTATTCGTCTCGATGAACATGGCATACCTGAGGTACTGACACACATGTGCTGCAGCAACGCTCGCCGTGGCAGCGGTCTCACAGCCACCCAAACAGCCTGCAGGCGCCCAACTCGAAGAACCTGATCCCCATATCCGACGTCACGAAGAAGAAGCTCAACAAGTTCCTCTACCAGGGCTCCAAGGAGGAGTCTGCGGCAACCGAGGGCGCAGGCAGCGCGGCATCGACGTCCAATTCGGAGACGCCCTCGCATCTGAGGATGATTGGGAACAGCGCCACCCCCGTGACGAGGCTGAACTGGAGCGACCTTCTCGAGCCCTGCAGCCAGGCCGAGGAAGACACCAGCATCTCGCCGAACGAGAAGCTGTTGTGGGACAACAAGCAGGATCCCAATGCGTTTGCGACCATTTCGCCCATGATGCCTCGCAAAGGCAGGAAACGAGCAAGGAGCTCATCGCCCGTCTCGTCGCCGCCCGCCGAGAGAATTGCGACGCCGACGGTCAATGTGAAGAAGCTGGCCAAGGCGTTGAAGCTGCCGCATCCGGACCCAACGCTAGAGCTGTGGGATCGCTATTCGATCAACGGGCCCGAGGGACAGTCTGCCGTGTCTGGCATGACGAATCCTACTCTGGCCCATTTGATGGTGTCTTCGTCTCCGCGACCATCGAAGAACCAGACTGCGCAGGTGGACAAGGAGAACTTGCGCCGAGCTGCTAGCTGTGGGTACAACTGGACCAAGCGGAGGAGGGTTGAGAAGTCGAGGTCGGGCAGTCAGAGCAGTTCCGGTCAGCGCGAGCTGGAGGCTGCATCCAAGTCGTCTCTTGTCACGGCGCTGCTGGACTCGGTCACGAGTAGTATTCACGACCAGACCCAGGATGACGACGCCGATACTGGAGCTATGGACTCGCCGTCTCTTAAGAAGAGGCACATTGCACCCCAAAGCAGCGTCAACACGCCTTCGCGAATTTCGAAACGCCGAGTACCAAGTCCCAACGTCTCAGACTACGGCGACGATGATGATCTGGATGACGAGTTATTGGTACTCGAAGAAACTTTGCTGGCAACACAGGCTTCTCAGGCGTCCCAGGTCGCAGAACCTGCTGCACCCATCAAGAAAAGCCCGGAGAAGTCAGAGAAGAAGAACGCAGGAAAGCTACCCGTTATTGATGAGTTTGACGACTTGGACGATGATCTCTTCGACGGTGCGGATGATATACTGGCAGACTTGGAGTCCAAGTCCCAAGTGCCGGCGACAAAGTTGACTACACCAAGGGCGAAAAGGACATCCCCCAGAAAAAAGACTCCCAAGAAGCTGGCCGACCTCGAAGACGAATTCGACGACGCCTTTGACGGGGATGTTGACTTTGAGGCGGTTGAGTTCGCCGCGACTCAAGCAGTCCAGCAGCGCAACTCTGCCTCTGCAGCTGTATGTGAGGAAGCCATCCGGAAAGAAACCATGCTAAGTGTAGGCCAGAACAAGAAGAAGATCAAGACCATTCAGCGATATTTAGTAACCAGTGTCTTAGACGGTGAATACGTCGATCAATACAACCGCACCTGTCCTGAAAAGGTATGTTCTGGTCTCGCACCCACCTTCTGTACGGCTGCTGACTTCGCCAGATCTTGTTGATTCAAGCGGATGGCTCCAAGACGACCCGGACGGTACAGCTGCGAGGTTCCTGGTTTGATACGCCGGCGCACGCTGGTGCCTACGTTCACGTCATTGGAGAGTTCTCACTCAAGGGACAATGCATTGTGGACGATGCCCAGAACTTGCTGATTCTGCATCCTGACCAGCTCATCTCTGCAACCGTTGTCGCCGATTCCTTCGGCTGCATGCGGAGGGCTGTCCTCCAGGATCGAGTCAAGGCCACCAGCGAGGCTTCGCCCCCCTTGGTCTACGGAACGATGCTCCACGAAATCTTCCAGGCAGCGCTGCTCGCCAACGACTTTGACCTCCCGTCTCTCTCTAAGCTGATTGACAAAAATATTGAGAAGCATATCGAAGATTTGTACACTATCAAAGTTGGTATTGCGGCGGCAAAGGAACACCTCCAGTCCAAAATGACGGAACTCAGCTACTGGGCCAGGAGCTTTGTTGCCACTCAGCCACAGGTAAGGTACAATGTGTGCTTTGCGATATGCTAGTGCTGATATACGTCCCAGACCGATGCTATCGTGGAAGGGAGAAATGGCGACAAAGCGACCATAGCCGTTAGGAAGCTGCTCGACGTGGAGGAACATGTCTGGTCGCCCATGTATGGGCTCAAGGGCAACATTGATGCAACTGTCGAAGTCGCAATGACGGACGGCAAGCAGACCCAGGTGTTGACGGTCCCATTCGAAGTCAAGACTGGCAAACATGCCAACAGCAACCACATGGCGCAGACGGCCCTGTACACCCTCCTGCTGTCGGACCGTTATGATATCGACATTGCCTACGGCATCTTATACTACATGGAGACGTCCAAGACAATGCGCATCCCTGCCATCCGGCACGAACTCCGGCACATGGTAATGCAGAGGAATCAGCTGGCGTGCTACATCCGAGAACGAAGTGTCCAGCTTCCTCCCATGCTAAAGAACAAGCACATGTGTGGCAAGTGCTATGCTAAAACCTCCTGTTTCATCTACCACCGACTGGCAGATGACGGCAACGGAGAAACGAGTGGCATGAATGACAAGTTTGACCAAGTCATCAAGCATCTGACGCCAAAGCATCAGGAGTTCTTCATCAAGTGGGAGAACTTGCTGACCAAGGAAGAAAAGGAAGGGCAAAAGACCAAGAGGGAGCTCTGGACGATGACAAGCGCTGAGCGGGAGAAGAAATCTCGGTGCTTCTCCGATGTCATTATCGAAGAAGGGTCCGCGTCGGTTGATGAAGATAACCCTCGCATCAATCGGTATCACTACACATTTATCAAACGCGAGCCACCGCCCAACTTCACGTTTATCGGATCGGAGTTGACGGTTGGTGAGCCCATTGTTGTATCAGACGAGGAAGGCCACTATGCCTTGGCCATTGGCTACGTTACGTCTGTTCGGAAGCAAAGAATCAGCGTTGCCGTCGATCGACGGCTGCACAATGCCCGAATCCGACAGCCTGGTTTTGATGAAAGCAACAATCAAGTGTTTGCCAGCATCATGGAAGTTGCACCAGAGGGAGCCTCTGTCGATCAGAGCCAGGGGAAACTCAAGGAGCAGCCCATTCGCTACCGGCTGGACCAGGACGAGTTCAGCAACGGCATGGCCACTGTGAGAAACAACTTGATCCAGATGATGGCCAACGATGTGCCGGCTGCGGTGCAGATTCGCAACTTGATCGTCGACCTGGTGCCTCCCCGATTCAAGGCGGTGGCATCACAGTACACCGTCACGGACGGGGAAAGCTTGAACGTCGATCAACAGCGAGCCATCGAAAAGGTGATGAGCGCGCAGGATTATGCCCTAGTGCTGGGAATGCCCGGTACCGGCAAGACCACGACCATTGCGCACATCATCAGGGCTCTCGTCTCGCAAAAGAAGACGGTGTTGCTGACGTCTCATACGCACACAGCTGTGGACAACATCCTGCTCAAGCTCAAGTCGGATAAGATTCCCATTCTGCGGCTTGGTGCCCCTGCAAAGGTGCATCCAGAAGTCCAAGACTTTGTACATCTTGCGGGCCAGCCAAAGAAGACGTTTGAGGAGATCAAGGAAGCTTGGCATGGGACCCCGATTGTCGCCACGACATGCCTGGGCATCAATCATCAAGTCTTTTTGGAGCGTTCCTTTGACTACTGCATTGTGGATGAGGCGTCGCAAATCACCCTGCCTATCTGTGCCGGGCCCATTCGACTTGCTAACACATTTGTTCTCGTTGGCGACCATAACCAGTTGCCCCCGGTGGTGAGGAATGAGGAGGCTCGACAGGGTGGCCTTGACGTCAGCCTCTTCAAGCTATTGTCAGACACACACCCACAGTCCGTCGTTAACCTGGAGCACCAGTATCGCATGTGCGAGGACATTATGACCCTGAGCAATACCCTCATCTACAACGGAAGACTCCGGTGTGGCACAGAGTCTCTACGCAAGAAGAAGCTCCACATCCCCAGCATGGAAGCTCTCAGACAGCACCACCACGACTCGACAAGCCTACAGCGTTCTGTGGCAACTCGCTCGTTCTGTTTCGGACCAGCCCCCTCGCGATGCTGGCTCTATGATCTCCTGGAAGGGGAGGCTCGCGTTCGCTTTGTAGACACCGACACCTTGCGCCCCCTTGTCCGAGAAGAGGCCCAGGGGAAGCGCATCATCAACCCGGCCGAAGGGCAGATTGTCTCGCAGCTTGTCCAGAGCTTCCTCAGCGTGGGCGTCCCGGCCGCCGAGATTGGCGTCATGACGCACTACCGCGCGCAGCTGCACCTCCTAAAGGACAAGCTCAAGCACTTCCCCGGCGTGGAGATGCACACGACGGACCGCTTCCAGGGCCGGGACAAGGAAGTCATTGTGCTGAGCCTGGTGCGCAGCAACGAGGCGTGCAGCATCGGCGACCTGCTCAAGGACTGGCGGCGCATCAACGTGGCGTTTACCCGCGCCAAGACGAAGCTGCTCGTCGTGGGCAGCATGGGCACGCTCCGGGGCAGCGGCGACGAGAACATGCTGAGCAAGTTCATCTCGTTGATGGAGGAGCGCGAGTGGATCTATCACTTGCCGGAGGATGCGCTGCAGAGCCATTGTTTTGAAGATTTGAGCACGCAGCTTACTACTCCTGGGGCGGCGACGCAGCAGACGCCGAAGAGGGTGTCGCCGTCGTCGTCGTCGTCGAAGAAGAAGGCATTTGCGAAGACGAGTCCCATTTCGTATGGAGAGGGGGATAAGGAGAATCGGAGGCCGGAGGTGAGGAGGGCGGGGAGGGGGGAGGAGATGATGCTCAAGGGGAAGCTGATTACGAGGGATATCTTGAATGAGATGACGAATGGCGCATTTTGATGGCCTGGTTTTTCTTTGCTTTTTTGGCATGAATGTTGGTTCTGGACTGGGTGGTTTTGATGGATATTTTCTTTGTCTTTCTGGAGGCGTGGTTGATTATGGGTTGGGATATTGTATGCTATGGATAAATGCATTGTTCAGGGTATTCTGAGTTCTAAGGATTTGAGGATAGAAGCTTGCGCTTGATTATGTCCTTGTCCTTTCTTCTTGATCCTGATCGGCTCTCTAGTGGTTATTTGCGTGGGTATCATCTTCTTGGTCTTGCTCATCGTCGCTGTCATCTTCATACGCCTCTTTCATCCTCCACTCATCATCGAAGCTTTTTTGGAACATGTTTCAGCACACAAGAAATATCAAAAGACGGCAAATGGAGGCTTTGAAAGAGGGATTGAGAAGACAACTTACCCCTGCTCGCCAACAATAAGCTTGGTGAATCTCTCCAGCTCCTCGAGTTGCGCTACGCAGCCCGTGAGGCTCTCGTTGTACGAGTAGCTGTATATGTCGCTCCACTTCTTGTGCCATCTGCGGGAGGCGTCCTCGTGGGGGTCGTCTGGTTGCTGGGCGTGCTGCTGGGCCATTTCTTCCTCGAGGGCGGCGGTTTCGAGGAGCAGTTTTCGACGGGCGGCGGCGGCGCTGGGCAGATATTTCTGTGGCGCCGTACGATCACACAGAGGAGTTAGCTGCTGAAGATTGCTTTGGGTGAGAAGAGGGGAGGGGGGGGGGGGGGCTAGATCGAAATGCGTACGGGAACTTTTCTGTCTGCTCTGAGAGCCCCTGCGAAAATGTACAGGTTCGCCAGGATAGAAGCCACGGCGTCTCTCCTGAAGCCAAGCAATCGCTGCGCGGCGATGGGGTCGTCGCGGATGTAGTCCGGGTTGTACAGGACGGCGGACTGGCGCACGGCGATGAGGTAGTCGAAGAAGCGCTCGGAGGAGTCGGCGAGGCCAGAGTAGGGGAGGGGGTTGAAGGGGCTGCGGAGGCGGATTTCGTGGCGGGTCATGACCTGTTGACGGTTCGATGTTAGGTCTCTGTGTCTTTTTTGTGTAAGTTGGGGGAAGAGGGGGGAAATGAGTACCAGGAGTTGGCGGATGCGGACGAAGCCTTCTCTGATGCGTCCTTCGAGAATTTCGGACTTTTCAATGTCTTCAGGGGTGGGCTCTTTGCCTTGTTCAAAGTAGATGTATTTCGCCACGACGTCTGTGGAGGTTCAACATTCAGCGGAAGAGCAGGATAGCATGACGGTGCGGCAGGGGTCCTTACTGCGATAGATGATGCTCAAGAAAAAGAGCATTGAAGACAGAGCTTTCCTAAGCTCGTGTCTTGCAACAAATGGCCACAGGCACCAGTTGACAATGATGGGCGCGGTCGTGCCGACGAGGAAGATGACGCCTCGGAGGACGGCTGTGACGGCTGGTGAGGAGGGCAGCTCGCCAGCTTGAAGTTGGAGGGAGACGACTGTAAACGACAGGCAGCCTACAAGGCCAGATCTCTAGAATTAGGTACTCGTCAGTTCCATTCAATGCCTTTCACACTGCTAAATACAGGGAGAAGCAGATGGCGTCTTACTGGATGAGAACTCTGCGTAAAGCGATAGAGCATGGGCACCATGAAGATGGCTGCAAACACCGCCACCACATACGGGCTTCCATCGCCCGCGGAATGAGCAAGGCCACCCCATACAGCACCCAGAACCGCCAGCACAGCTCTGGCAACCAAGTCTTGCACATTTCCTCCTACACGAGCATGGATCAGGAGCCAGCTCATGGTGACAGCCCACCAGGCTTCGTAGTCGTCCCACCAGACCTTGTCCCTGTGTAGGTACGAGGGAATCGACAGGAGAGACGTGACGAGAACGGCTTTGAAGGCGTACCGGCCCTCGTAGCCTTGCAGCAGGTGCAGGACTTGCCAGATTCTGTAGCCGAGGCTGTTCTTCTTGGTGTCCATGTCAGGTTCTGCGCCTGGATCGGTGAGATGCGTCAACTCGGCGTGTAACTCTGTTTCAGAGATGTTATCCTCGTCGTTCTCCAAGGGCTTGTACTCTCTTGACTTGATCGACTCCAAAGCACGCGCAATCTCGACAAAAGTGACGTGGTAGGACGAGGCCGTGGCGCCGCCTCGGTCATGCATCACTTGACTGTTGACGCAGTGAACGGCTTTTCTCCAGGGATATGAGGGCAGGTGAGGCCGTGGCCAGTTGGAAACGTGCTGCATGGCATATACTTTGCCCATGAGATTCTCCACCGTGGTTGCGGTTTCACGGACATGTCTCGCAAAGATGAAGAGTTGGACAACGGCCGAGTCGTTCATCGATGCCGGGGGGAGCTGGCCCGATTCCAGAAGCTCAGACTCGACGCTATCAAAGACTGTTTTGGCAGCTTTCATGCGAATTTGAACAGGAGCAATATCAGACGAGACCGTCATTGGGGGACCCAGATACTGTCGATAACCTGACAGGTCCATCAGCGCGGCTTGGCTCGCCTGCAGTCCCGAGTTCATACAAGCGAGGAGCTCCTTTGTGGGCTTTGCCAGTTTCCCGATTACGGTCCGGGTGACTTCTTTCTCTTCTACAGCGCCAGAGGCCTTCTCGGCGATGTTTTCGAGATCGTGTGGAGACGCCTCGACGGCTTCAACCACAATAGGGGCATGTCCATTTTCAGTTTCGCTGACAAGAGCACTTTCGGTTTCCATGGCCAGCATGCAGCGAATGACGGCTTGCATGAGGTTGCGCAGCTCCCTCACGTCGTCTGGCTTGAAGCGTGTAATGGTGAGGCTGGTTCGCATATCGCGGTGGGCGGTGGATAAGTCCACAAAGGAACGGACCAGATCCCGCCTAAGTCTGGTATCTCTTGGGCGTGGAATCGCAATGGCGTCCTATTGAACCAGTCAGCTTCAGGAGACGGGGAGCGACTTTGAGGAAAAGGGGTGACGAACCAGCATAAAGGAAAAAGACTGATGGAAGGCAATGGCAAGTGGTCTCGCACCGGCATCAGGAAAGACGGTGCAGTTGACGAGGAGTGCGAGAGCCTGGCCTAGAACCCATGGAACCGCATAGTTTCTCAGCTTCTCCCACACAACGACATTGCCTCGAGTCTGGGCCAACAAGGTAAAGACGATTGATACACCTGCGCACACCACCATTTGGTAGAACCGTGAATAGTATGAGCGTACCCACGCAACGACTGCCATGAACAGAGCCAGGAAAAGTGCCAAAACTCCGCCATAGCCAGCGCTGGCTGCAGAGGTCGACGTAGAGAGTAACAGGCCGACAGCTCCCCAGCCAATCCCGGCGGCCGTACCAATCGAGGTGAAAACAGCACCCTCAAGTTGAGCACCAAGGGTCCGGGCCGGATGGTTCAAGATGACGGAGACGGCAATGATGTAGTGATATCGGCCGAGCCATTGCCTGACGGCTGGAATCAGGCACATGATGTACGCGGCGAAATAGGCGGTAAAGGACCTGAGCAGACGGATGCCAGCACGAGTCGTGGTGACATTCCGAACCACGGATTTGACCGCATCGATTTGCCTGGGGATAAACCGACGAGCCGCCAGAGGCGAATCCTTGTCAAAGGCAGCGGGCAACGAGGCCCTGGATCGTTCAACAAACCCCTCCGGAATCAACTGCGTACTTTTGACAAATAAGGCGTCAAAGAATCCATCGCGCTCCTCTACCACGCCAAACGTGTCAGGGTCGACGTGGTCGTCAGGGAGAATCTCCTCTATCGGGGCGATGAAGGAGCTGCGTCTGCTTCCATATTCAGACTGTGGCGCCGAGCTGGGGGTTGTCCTGAGCGGCGGGTTTTGGGCAAGGAAGCGAAGTCTCGTAGACGTCGGACGAGACAGCGGCTGAGGCTCGTTTTCGACATGGTCCTTGGATTGATGAGCGGGATCTTGATGGGTGTTAGTATCAAGATCTGAGGAGCTGCCGCCCGACATGGCGCGATGATGTGGAGATGCAGTGCTTCTGAGACCCGGCAGCTGGATTCATGAAGCCAAGATCAATTGCATGAGTCACTAAAAGAATGGACCAAGACTCATTCCCAGGCAAGGAATTGGGCATAAAAGTTGCGAATTCGGCGTCTCATATGTGAAAGAGCGTCATCGTCGGCGTTCGGCATGTGCGTCATAGGCTTTTGAGGCTTGTGCTGATGATGGGCCACGAACCACGGCCCGTATCGATTGGCGGCAAAGGGCAATTCGGCTTGATGAGCAGTTAGTCGACATACACTCACGCAGCACCAGATACAGGGGAGTCTGGCGCAATGGCTGCTGCAGTTGGAGTTGCTCTGGTCGTGACTCGTGATGATGAAGATGGGAGGTCGAAGCAACTGGAAGGCGCTGTGAGCTTTTCCTCTTTCGGGCGTCGGTCGATTATTGTTAGTGCTCATGACGGCATCAACCACCACCACCAACAGCTCGAGTAGCAGGACAAGTCAGCCATCTCTACCTTACTTATTCACCTCCTAGTAACTGAGAAGACTGGAATCCTGCAATTGGCTTGTGATTTCTGGATAGTCTGGATAAGGGTGCTTCCATCTGGATCTGAAGCAGACAGCAGCCACAGTCCTTCCGGCTCCCGTCAGGATGCAGACGATGACAAGCATTCAACCAGAGGTCCAGTCGATATCCATCCTCTTCCGACCCCATCACCAGTTTCGGCACTTCTTGCCAACCAGAATAACAGCGGTGTCATGAGCTGCAACAGCCGTCTTGTACGAGCTGAGGCACCCAAGGCTCTTGTCCGTCCACACATCCCGGACCTCATACCGTCCCGCAGACAGCCCCGGAATCTCAGACCACTTGGCCTCCTTTCTCACCGTGTGATCCAGCGTGTTCATCATCAGCACCAGATGCCCCTTTGACGATGGACCGGCCCAGTACTCGGCAGGGTTCGTATAGTTAAAGGTCCAGTCAGGGTTGACGCCCCATTTATAGGGCGTGGCAGGCTGACCGTAGACGCTGTCCTGGTTAAACGCCAGCAGATGCTTATTCTTCAGCAACTCAATGTTCTCCTGCGACAACTGAGCAAGATCCGTCCCGATCAGCAGCGGCGACTTCATGGCCGCCCACAGCGCAAAGTGCGTCCGCGTCTCAGCAGCCGTCAGGTTGCCGTTGCCGACCTCGAGCATATCCGCGTCGTTGTGGCCCCAGAAGCCGACGGAATTCATCTTGAACGAATTCATGTTGATGATGTGCGTCACGGAGCCCCATTCGGGCGAAATATCGCCGCTCATGCGCCAGCTGATGCCTGTCTCGTTGCCCCAGGAGAAGACGTCGGCCACGCCCCAGATGCACAGGCTGAGCACGATCTCGCGGCTCTGCTTCGCCAGGGCGTCCCTCATGGCGTTGAAGCGCTCGGCTGACTTGGAAGTGCTCCAGTCGTAGCCCGGAGGGGCGAGGTTTGGCTCAAGGGCGGTTGAGCAGGTGCCGTTGGGGCCGGTTTGGACGGCGTCGGGGGCGCAGGCGACGTATTCATCTTGCCAGTCTGAAGGGACGTTGCAATTGTCACTTTGACGGACAATGTTAGCCAAGAGTGATACTGATACTTTAATCAGAAGGGGGAGGAGGAGGAGGAGGAGGAGGAGGAGGAGGGTGCTGAGTCTCTACTCACTATTTCAGATCTATACAACATAAAGTCAGCGCGTTGAGCTTTCTTATCATCAGAGGAGCATAATGTACTTACAGTCCACGCCCCAGTCGGCAAAATCAGCGGCATCGACGTCCTCGTAGCCAAGACTGGCAGGGTAGCCAGCACAAGTTGCAGTCCCAGCAGCTATGCATCATCAATATCTGCCCTCGACCAAGCGACAAGCGTATTGAAGAAAGCTTACTGCTGTAAATGCCCAACTTCAAGCCCAAGTCGTGGACCTTCTTCGCCAGCCCATCAATGCCGTCAGGGAAGCGAGTTGTGTTGACTGCAATATGGCCGTCCACACGACCGTCTTTCATCGACCAGCAGTCATCAACTTGTTCACAGTTTAGTAACTGCTGTAGCTCATTGCGGATCATGCTTTGCCGACTTACTATTGACATAATTGTAGCCTGCGTCGAGAAGCCCAGAGCTCACAATGACTTCGGCGGCCGAGAGAAACTTGCTTTCATCGATATCGCAGTGGTAGGCATTCCACGAGTTCCACCCCAGACTTGGAACTTTTCCCTAGAGATTGTCTCTGGCTTAGCATTCTGGTAGTGTGCCAAATGGGAAAAAGTGAGTCTCACAGTCACTCCATCAGGCATCACGATTGCGTGTGCTGTAGAGAGGAGAAGAGCAAGGCCACTCCAGACGGAAGGCCTCGCGGCCCGGTCAATCGAGTGAGGGGTCATTGTGTGTTCCAGCTATGATACAAGCAGTTCGATAATCTCTCCGTCCGCTGTAGAAGATGTAGACTGCCACTCGTTCTTGCAGTAAGGCCTTCGCTTGTCGAAAGCCACCTCCTGTGAAAACAATTACACAGATGTCGAGGTTATTCAATTGCATTTATACTACTTTGCAAATATCCGACTCTCCAAGACTACATGCGGCAAAGTAGAGAGGGGCTTGTGTTACAATCCAAACTTCCCCAGGTCCTGCATTACCAATGTACAAGTACTATGAACTTCTCTGGCACAAGACGTCCCAGGGCAGGATGGCGCCAGATCAGCATGATGGGAGCAAAGGTTCCTTGCCCAGAAGGTTGAGTTGCACGTCTCCTCCCCGTCGAGGAGTAAAACTCGGGCAACAAAATGGATCAAAAGCCGGAGAATCCCATGTTGAAGCGCACCAACAGGAACTGCAAGCGACACATCATAGCCATGTATAAGTGCAGAGAACATGCAACACCAGGGACTGCTTAAACTCGGGTTGTATTGGTAGCGTAATAGATATGGTGAATCTGTGTCCAACTGGCGATGTTCCGAGGTGTCATTGTTGGAGGTGATGCTCCACCCCCGCATAAAGGAGCCAAGCATGAACGGCAAATGGATGATGCGGCTATGTCGAATTGGGGAGGCATCTGGCGATCTGTATGCCGGGCCAGCAAACACCACCTTATTTCCTAGATTTCCTATTCGTGGGATCAAAGGTGCTAGGTCACTGTCCCCGTCGCTGCATTCCGGCATCCGCGCAGGTTTTCCCCCAAGATCCCGACGGTAAATAAGATCCATTTGGAGGGTGCGGGTTCTTTTCCAAGAGGTCAATCAAGGCATGTGATTCAAGGTTATTGTCATCCCCTGCGCCGAGTTTGTCCTCCGTCACAACGACTTTGACTCTTGTTTCACGATGTCAATCTCACAGCGTATGCCTTCTCAAAAGTCCTGGTGGACACGGTTGAACACATTCAAGCCAAATTTCTATTTGAGCGTTCTTCATGGCCATTGGAAATAAGGAGCTTTCATCCGGGTCATACCAATAACGCGATCATCTTCACAAGATGAGAGAGAGATGAAGAGAAGCAAGCTGGCAAATGGTTAAACGAAGCATAGAAGAAAAATCGACGTCGTTCAGGCCGTTGGCTATCAGGGTGTTGAAGATCATTCTATTTTCTTGTTCGCTAAATAACAATGAGATAGGGTATAAACAATGCACTCATACTCACACAAGACACCGCGACTCAGTATCGGTGCCTCGTGCTGTAGTCCTTCGGGCTGACCACCAGACCTCTGCCCTTCTTCGCTCCCCGGTAAATCGTCTCGATAATGTCAATGAGTTCCTGCTTATCCTCCAGCACCCAGTTGAGCTTGTTGTTGTTACCGGTGCCGAAATCGCACATCATGTGCTTGTTGCGGAAGAAGAAGAGGATGGAGCAGGGGTCGTACAGCTCGTACATGGCATTGAAATCGGGGACCTGCATCTCTGGTCAACTCGAGCTCGTCCAAGGCTGAGATGAGACTGTACCCACCTGATCAATGTCGCAGAGGTAGATGACGGCAAAGTTCTTGACGCGATCGGCTATTTTGTAGAGGACTTCATCTTGTAGCATGCAGTCCTGCCAGATGTTAGCTTGAGGGCACCAAAGACGATGAAAATTCCTAAAAAGCGGAAGGGTTTCTCTTACTCGATCGTGATCACGTCCAAACCGGATGACGACAAGACGATCCTCTTCTATATAACGTAGTCAGCGCTTGGTCGTTTCGTTTGGAGACATCTGATAAGCAATTCTCAAAGGCACTGACTAACCGGATAAGATGGCCTGGTCAACATGCCAGCCAGAGTTGAGATGAGGAAGAACGACGGAACCCATTGTGAGATGCTGCTTGTATTTTGATGTGTTTGATGAATCTGATGATGATGCCTGTCTTTGCCATAGAACAAGCATTTGCCTGCATGGAATCCGGGAGAATGTCGGATTACCGGTATGGCCGTGCCGTGTGGCTTGTCTCCATGTGGCGCATTTACAGTGCACACAGTATAAATGCTTCAAAGTACTCAGTTGCTTCTGAATGCGCCCGACTTGACCTAGAAACGCAAAGGTCCTATTAGTAGTTGAAGATGAAAGGGAAAAGAGCCAATATATAAAGCGACAGTATAATTCTATAAATATTACTATATAGGGTTATAATATAAGATAATGGAACAAAATGTCATCAAAGAAACTTGGCTCTATCGTGGCAGCTGAGCAATGCAGTCAGGCGCAACAGTATTCAAAGTCGCAAGAGGATTCAACAAACTCAAAGGGTTGACAAAAGCATCGTTATCAGCAACCTGCCAGAACAAATCAACCAGACCTTCGTCATTGAATCTCATGAAGCGCATTCCACGAGCCCGATATTGAGCCCTGTTAGGCGCGATCCTCGTTCCGTTAACCATGGTAAAGGTGCCGTTCCGCGTCCCCTGGAAGATGTATTCAGTGGCAGCCCAGTTGCCTTGAGCAATCACAAACTCGTCATGAAGGAGCAAGTCCGGAACGGAAGTATTATATCGTGTAAAGAGATTGACAAGCGAGGCACGGCCGGTCGAGTTGCGGCCGTCAGAAACAACGGTGACATCGTCCGTGGCGAGGAGGCCGTTGGCGGAAGCGTTTCCGCTGTTGAAGTTGGTGACGAATTGCGCGGCCTTTTCCTTGATCTTAAAGGTGAAGTCGGACGTCTTGTTGGCAATGGGGTTGAGAACAATGTCTTGGAGAGGCGGTGCGGCGACCTGACCGGCTCCTTGGGCGGCCGCAAGTCCTCCCTCGCTGATGCTGACAATGCGCGTCAACAGAGGCTCCTTGTCGAAAATCATAGTCTCAGCCAGAGAAGTCTCGATGTGAGCATCGGAGCTATTTGAGGTGATTCTGTTGGCGCTCAAGAGCATCGCGATGTTGCCCTCGACGATGATAACCCTGTCGAGAAATTGGGCTCGAAGGCCGCCAGAGGGATCGAAAGCCAAGGCCTGAATAAAAGCTGCCCTGCCTAGGCCTGTTGTTCCGCCAAAGAAGAGGTCGACGTCGGGAACGACCAGCTGGCCGTTGGCTTGGATCCCTGCGGGAGTGTTCAAGCTGAAGTTTGGGTGAAAGGATGCGGATCGGTTGAACACCTCATTTTGGTATTCGGCGGTGAGGACAAGGCCTGGAACGCCGACCGGCTCTTCGAGGGTCGTGCTGGAGCCCAAGAGGGCCAGTACATAGGCGAGAATGGAGCGCATGCTGGGCTTGGTCGTGTGGAAGGTATCGGATTTCTGATTTAGGAGAGGTGTCTGAAATGGCTGTAGATTGGTTGTAGTTGGTACCTAAATATCATCCAGAGCAACAAGCACATTTAAACTTAGGATATGGGTAAGTTATTGGTTATCACATGTTGTAACCTTACCAACGCGCTTGAAGGGGGTTGACTTGATAGTATTCCTAAACGATCGTCACTTTTCTCGTTTTTTGATGTGGAATCATGGCAACAGGCGTAATCACTAGGACCACTTGATGCGCCAAGCCTCCCCCTGGAATGGATCTCTGTGAGACGGGAATTGCGGAAACAAGTCAAAGATTGGTTTTCCCACCAGGAACTTTGGAAGCACTGGCTATTTTCAGATTACCATGTGTTGAATTCGGGCCATACAGGCAGGGGACGGGGAGATGCTGTGTCCAATGTAGGATTCTAACCGGCCTAGTATACGCTATGGGAGGCGCGCGAGGTGTGCTAAGATAGGAATTTGCACACAATAAGGCTGGGTGAGTGTTGGTAATCAATTATTCATCCTTGACAGCGATCTGATGGTGCTTTGTGAGCTGTGGACTCCTACCGAGCCCAGCCTCATCGTGTCAGTAGCTTCAGCGAGGAGTCTACATCAAACTTGTGGCTCCTCGGAGACTGCTGTTGCCTTTGTTAATTTGACAAGGCGAACGAGATCCGAGTATTAGCCTGTTAGAGATATCTTTATATGGCTATTGAGTGCAGTTTGCTGGTGCCTGTACGAGATGAAGTTGTAAGCAGTCGTGGTAGTGGTGAGCTATCAGTGCATGCTTCACAGGCAGGATGTAGCTGTCCAAAGCGCAATGTTGATCAGTTAACTTGATCGCATTGTTGGTAACCACACATGAGTATACAGAAGCTGGGTGATGAAGTTGGCAGTAGTCACTACATCTGTGAGTTGGTACATATTGTCAAGTGGACAGTGACACAAACACCAAGCACAGACTCGTTGATAAAACCGTTTCGTGGTTATCGCAGACTGGCCTTGGCTATTCCTTACCATGAAAACCGCCCCTGGACTTATGGTGTTGCTCTGCAAGGCATCGTGTCCGTACATTTAGCTTGGCCGGGAGGCGCATGGCTAACATGATGTGTGCGCCACCACAGGGCGTTTGCCTTTTGACCAGACAGTTGTATAGGCGTTGCTTTGCATGTCGGTCGATGCGAGGCAGACCCATCCTCATAGACGACATGAGAGACTTTGGGAAATCCTGATGTATATGACAAGAGGGTACAATACACCTTCAGCCGATGATATTATCAAAGGTCATTTGGTATAAGCTCTGCGGCAACTAGAGCAACAGGCTTTGCCACCTTTGATATGCTACCATCATCACACTTGCGTTGCTATCAAGATAGGCAAACTCGGCAATTTGATCCTGAGGGCATTATAAAAGCTGATGTCCAATGTCCCTCTTACGAACCGCCGATTTAGCCCAAGCACGCAAACATTCGAAATCTCTGAGACCTACACAAGTTTCTTGAACATGGCTACACTTGAGCAACGCAACAAGGCCATCGTCGCCAAGTACTTTGACGAATACTGGGTCAAAGGCAATGTCGACATTGTAGACGAGCTCTGCTCTGACGACTTTCTCATCAGCTACCCCAATCACGGACACCATCACGGCAAGGAGGGCGCAAAGAAGATGCTCTCCGAATTTATGGAGGTAGCTCAACCCCCCCCCAAAGGAATGAGGTCTGCGTATCTCATGGGAAAGTACTGACAGCATGCAAAAGGCGTTTCCCGACCTGACATTCAGGTCTTACCAGACCCCATTGATTGCCGAGGGCGACTATGTAGCAGCTCAATGGGTCGGTGGTGGGACTCACACGGGCCGTGCTTTTGACGATTTGCCTGTGGGCAAGCTCGACAAGCCCAACACTGGCAAGACGATTCATTTTTCTGGTATCACTATTTTCACGCTCAAGGATGGCAAGATTGTGCGTGAGATTGCGGAGGAGGGGAGTTTGACTGTTTTGCAGCAGCTGGGACTCGTTCCGCAGCCCAATTCTGGCAAGGAGATTGTGTACACTGACTTGAACAATATGCAAAGCTCGCGGTAGAGACGCCGCAAGGTCAAGCTTATACATACATGTACCTTAGCTACATGTAGTCATCAGTACGGCTCGAAGCCTAGTGCGATTTTATCTTCGTTGCACCCGTATCTGGTCTTTGCATATTGACACTTTTATCATTATGGAATGACAAGGCGGACTCGAGATATCAGTGTGAAAGTTTCTACACTACGGTATTGGCCAATCTGTGTTGTTGGGGACGCGTTTGGATTCCCATGTCCTGTCTTAACTGTTTAGGGCTGACATGTGCACAGGTAATTGCTACGGGCAATTCAGAGGTAATTTTGGACGGATTCTGCACTCTCTCAAGGTCAATCAATACCTACACACTGTACGTGTAGACTGGATCCAGGGGGGTGGTTTTAATGCTGGCATCAATCTCATTGTCGCGTCATCGGGCTTCTCCCCACCCCCACACCGGCAATTCAACCCCCATGAGTCGCGATAAACGCGGAACCTCGATGAATGCCAGCCAAAGTCACCGCCCATCATGTCCAACAGTAATGATACCTCTCAGCTCCCAGGCCGTCCCCAGATGCCGACGCTCAAAAGCAAAGGCTTCCAACTTCACGGACAAGACTTCACTGTTGGCGGCATCGCTCGGGTTGGCGGTGCTCGTCTCCAGGAGCTGTTGAACCCTTCGGCTCTCCGGCTCAAGCGGGAGCAGAAGCATGCCGCAGAAGAAGCCCATCGCCTGTTCAGCAAGGCCTTCTTTGCCGCCCAGTTGAAGCACTATGACATCCCGTTCCGCTCGTCACATAAACGTGATGAACTGCTATCCTTGCTCAAGAATGCAGTCAGTCAGGGCAAAGTATGGTCCACCTCTTTGTCTTTTTGGATTCAACACAATATTTGATCGCTTTCTGACCATGCCCTGTAGTGCAACCACGTACCTCAATCAGTATTGGATATAGCAGCTGCAATGAAAACCGACTACGCACCACTGTATCAGAAATGGCAGGCCGAGTGTGCCGCTTGGGATGCAGCCAAGAAGCAAAGGGACGACGAGGCCTTTGCAAAGTGCAAGACGCCTGGCGAAAGGGCGAACTGTGACCTTGACCGCTTTATGGACATGTACTTCCTAACGGATGGCAAGCCCGACAAATCCAAGACCCCGAAGCCGCTCGTCCTGAGCGGCTTCCAGGACAGATGGAGCTTGCACAGCAGGGCCGAACGAGTCCCTGGCCTCGAAACCTGCAGTGGCGGTCCGCCGTCCAACCGCGAGCTCTGCATAGGCTGGGACCGTTCCGAGGTGTTTGCGCTGGCAAGCCGCGTATCAGAGCGCGCCTACGAAGCCGAGAAAGCCAAGCAAAAGGCGGAATGGGAGCAGCAGATGGCGCGCCACAGGAGATACATTGCTCGAGGACTTGGGACGGGCAGCGGAGGTAGCAGACAGCCTGACACATTTGATATGGCGCGTTGCCTGGGTTCCTACATAATTCAATGCGACGAGATTGCGGATCAGTGGCCCGATGTTGTCCGCGGGCACACTCTCACAATGGACATCTCCAAAGGCAGGGGAAACACGCTGCTTGCGGCGTACGACTTTGGCATCATCGAGGGAACAATGATTCTTAGCTTGTCAGAGGATACCCTCAAGGCCATAGTGGGCGGAAACACCTCGGAGTCTGAGGCTTCTCGAAGTGATGACTTTTACTCTTCGGAAGACGATGGAGATGGCGACGAGGAAGGCATCCATACGCAACAGCCTGATGGAGGAATCAAGCGCAAAGCCGGTCAATCCTCCTCACTGGCGCGAGCTACAGCATCGGCCGCCGCCGTCCGCCATCCCGTGACTGCAAAGAGACGCAAGACTGGCGCCGTGCCATCTCTCACCCGGCGCGTATACCTCCGGCTTCGTGGCCGCGAAACCGGCGAAGGCGAAATCATTCCGGATCCTGATTCGGGCCACATTGACTTTCTGAGCAATAGCTGCGCGACGTTTGCGGGCCTGGTGTACCATCTCACGTTTGTGGCCAAGAACGTCGAGTTCCGTGGCTACAAGGTGTCGGATACGCCGCGGGTGAAGCCTGAGGCCTGGGAAGACTTTTCATACGAGGCGTATGAGCACGCGAGGGTAGGACGTTGGTATTGATGGACGGCCTTGGGCAATACTAGCCACGTGGCTTCAATCGAAAAGCTCGTGTACGGCATGCATCAGTACCTGATGTTCTGTTCTATAGACCTTGCTGAAAGGGGGGAGGGATAGGGGGGAGGGATAGGGGGGAGGGATAGGGGGGAGGGATAAGAGGGGAGTCACTACGTAGCTGTCCGATTCTATCCAGCTTTCACTAAAAGTCCGCAAGTCACGAGCTTGGAATGTATACATGTACTCCCACTCCTTCATGTTGTTGTTGGAGATTGCATTGCCAAGTCTCCGCTGATGCCCCGGGCATCCGAACACTATTTGGAGTTGTCCTAGCTCTTCTCCCCTCTTTTAGAGGAATCATCATATCTCGTTCTCTTAAACGCCCACATTTGCTTATGAGCTCTTGTCTATGCAACTCTAGCTGTCCGTCAAGCGTCGAAACGGGACTATCAAGCATATCAACCACACATCAGATCAGGGCGAACCTATCGTCCAAGACTTGTAGCCCCTCCGCCTCCACCCACATGCTGGGGAATCGTATGCTTAGTTCTAACCGCAAACTATATGCAGTTTACCCGGTAGATGACATTGCTACAGGCTGATCATCCGGCAGTCATCCGGGTTTGGATTACGCGCGCGGTTGTCTGGCCGAGGGCCCGAAGGTTTCTCCTGCACCCCGAATACTTGGGGTATCTAGAAGACAGACTCGCTACTCTTTCCGAGTCCGCCCCCAACAACTCAAAGACCAATCTTTGATGCTTATACGGTGTAACTATTGCCCCGAGGACCAGTTGCTAGGCCTCACATATACTGTCAAGCTAGGCATTTGCAAGGCATAGGGATCTTTCGGCCTAAGCCTCCATTTTCCCGCGTTCTTTGTGAACCGTACAAAGACTAGACTTGCTTAGGATGGCTTTTCATACATTCAAGAGCTATTTTGGTTGCTTGGTTTTTTCAGCCCATCTGCAGGATGAGGAAATGTACAACTACGTCAATCAGATTCTCATACACTTCTCAGTCATCTGGAAAAGTTGGTATGTAGCGCTTTGATGGCGAACACAGGTGACTATGGAATCATTCATGCATACCTCCCCCAGAAATCCAATCCTGACTTGCTTCATTGGTAAAAATGCCACCAGTCGAATAGAGTGGTGGTCAATGCGGATCCAGCATCCTAGCAGCTTCTCCCACATGGCTCCGTCTTGATCTGACATCTAAACATGTGTCATTGCTTACCAAGTCCTGCCCAGTCGTCAAGTCCAGCAGGACTCCAATGGCAAAGATGGGCGTAAGTTACTGTTTGTACTTTTCAAAAGTTGGGTTGCCCTCGTGTTGAGGATCTTGATATCGTCAGCAGCATGGGCTTCTAGTGAGTGTATGGCAGAATAGGCATCTGCAGGCTTCATATAAAAAAGCCGTCGGCGATACTCGTATTATGCATGATTTCCATGATGCAACGTTGCATTTTGCAAGTATCAGAATAATATAGAAAGGTGATAGTATATCGGATCTCGCGCCCCCGACGAACCTAATAGAGCAAGTTCTCAACATGACGCATATTTTCTCTACATAAGGTCCAGTTCCTCAATCTTCCTAAAGTTGGAATTGACAATCTTTGAGGCAAAGCTTGGTACCCTTCCGTTAAAAGAACTGTCGCATAGATACAGCCGTCTGAAACTATCAAGACAATGCGCTTCTCAGTCGCCCTCGCAATGCTAGTCGGCCTCGCCGCCGCGATGCCCAAGTCCCCCCTATTCAAGCGACAGTGCCCGACCCAACCTCAAGGCTGCTGCCTCCAGACTGGCACTTGCGAGACGTGTTACTTTGGAGATGAGCCCTACCCGTGCAACTGCGAATGCCTGGAAGTCGGAGGTTGCCCTTGCACTGAGATTATTAATACCCCTGAGGGGAAGAAGTGTGTTGGCTGGTCTGCTGCCCCTGGTGGAGTGGTAAGTTGATGCTCTTTTCTATGCTCCAAAATTCTGTCCTTGATATTGGAATAGTAACTGACTTGACTGTAGTGCTAAACCATAGTATATCCCGCTGAAGGCGCATAGACTTGACCAAAGAGCTATCGATCGTACAGACTTGGTGGGACGGATCAAGCCATGGTAGATCCGTTGTAGAAAGAGTCTGTCAAACGAATCAACAGATTTGTTTAATGCAATCCTCAACATCACAGATGCCAGTTCACAAGTGTATCTCGCTAAAGGGTCTACGATTGCTGACTGCGGAAGCCAGCAACAGCCAGCAACACATGTACCAGGGACTCCAATCACTCAACGCAACCATCTAAGTAATTGATCATCTACGCATAAAATACCTAAATATGTATTGATCCTTCTTTGACTGGCTAGATTCGAGGGGATCGCGTACAATGTCAACCAGAAACATAGACGTTATAGCACAACCTTGTTCCTTGGCACACCACGTGATAGGCTGCCCCTTGGATCTCGCTTCTGCCTAATCACTTTGTGATGAACTTCTCTCCTCCATCACCATCACACTCCCCCTAAAAAAGAAGATTGTCATGCGCTGGCTTCGTAACCACTTTCAAGACGCAGACGATGTGCTGCACGCATGCATCCGTGACGGCAATCTCAGAAAGCTTCAGCAATCACTCGCTGCCTCACCAGCCCCGGACATCAACTACAATCATCACGGATTCGGCCCGCCAATTCATTTTGCTTCATGGTGCGGCGACATGGAAGCCGTCGAACTGCTCCTGGCAGCCGGCGCGGACCCTCTCCTTGTCAGTCGCGGCGAGGAGAATCTCACAGCCATTGGATTCGCCGCACAAAAGGGCCATCGAGAAATTGTCAAGCGTCTGTGGACGTTTTGTCCACCCGAGGCCCATCTCAGTACGGGGAGGCGTCACCTGTCGTGCTTCCTTGTTGCTGCGCTATACGGACATGCTGCAATTGTCCAAGATTTGCTGGACTGGTGGGATGGTTGGCCGCACGATCTAAGGTGTCGCGCGCTGCTTGGCGCTGCTCGACGATGGCACTTTGCAGTAGCTACTTTGCTCCTGAACAGGGCAACCTTCGAGTCGTCTATCCTGCAAGAGGCGCTACAAATGGCTACAACTCTGAGGCTTCTTATGTCTGATGGCGACGACGGCAAATGCGACGGCATCGACTACCTGAACCAGCAGCTTGTGGTTGAGCTGCTTATTGATGCAGGGGCAGACCCGAACGCTTGTCCAAATGACACGCCGCTTATATACACCGCTGCCTACGATGCGAATCTCACGGGTGTGCTCAAGACCTTGCTCGAGAAAGGCGCAGATCCCAACAAGACCAACGGGTCCGGTAAGTCTGCCCTTCATGCCGTGGCCGAGGCGGTCATTATAGGTCGCCCGATCCATATCATAGGACGACCTGAGCCTACGATGATGAACGAGACTGCGATCCGCCTTTTACTGCAGCACGGAGCCTCTGTAGCCCAGCCAGACAATGCAGGTGAGTGTCCTCTACAATGGGCTGCTTATGGACTCGATTTGCGTCTCTTCCGCCTCTACCTCTCATCCTCTTCAGACCAGGGCCGAGATGCTTTGCTGCGATTGACGAACAACCACGGAGAGACGTTGCTGCACTTTGCCGCCGCTGGGTGCCGCGTTGAAACGATGGAGTTTTTGATCTCTCAAGGTTTGGATGTCAATGCGAGGAGCATCAATGGCTGGAGCTCCTTGATGTGTGCCTTGGTGCCCATCGAGAGTCGCTTCGGGCGAGTCAAGCCGATGGGCGAAGCGATACGAGCGGCTCGAATTCTTCTGTCCCACGGAGCTGATACTGGAATTGTGACCGATGAAGGCTGGACACCACTGCATGCCCTCTCCCTCCATCGTGACGGCGATGTAAGGGAAACGATGGCAGGCTTTGCTAGGGACTTGCTACTGCGAGGGGTCAACCCGGAATCGTGTGCTCGGATGCTGAGCCCAGACAAGAGAACCGTGGTGCCTTCACTCGGCCTCCCTTGGGGTCATCGTCTGCGAGATGCGATGGCAAACCCGTCAGCTCAGAGGCTGGAATTACTGCCAGCTATGACACCTCTATACTGGGCAGCTATACGGGGGGCTGTCGGTGTCGTCCGAGCGCTAGTAGCTCATGGCGTTGACGTTTCGTCAATGCACGAAGACGGCATCTCCCCGACCAGAATGGCGGCAGAGTCCAAGTTTCTCGAGAGGCAATCTGAGCTTGTTGAGGCAATTGTTGAGCTTCTGCTGGCAGCTGGCGCAGGATTTTGAGTCACCTGGACGTTTTCTGAATCATGTTTGCATTGAGCAATAACACGGCAAGGTAGGGAATCTGTAGAAGTACGGTAAGAGGACAACTTCGGTGTAGCATCGTCCCGGCCATTGCGTGTATGTAGAACGATTTGGGATGAATGAAGATAATTCTCTGCAGATGACCAATGAACAGACTATATCATTGTTGACGAGCCTCTCATGTCAGATGAGTGACCTCTCGGTTGCTGTCAAGACGTCAAGCATGCTCATCAACCTGAGTCATGGCCACTCAACCCAGAGCAGGCGCTCGAAAACTAACAAGTACAACCAATCAGTTGTTCCACACATTCAAACGGCTATGTCATGAGCGGCAAATGATATTCACTGCTGCTTTTAGCTGCTGTGTCGGTTGAAAACGGGCCCTAGACCAGCTCGGGTGATGAGCTGATCAACATCACGGGCCATGGCCTGGAATGCGAGCTGTGAAAAGAAAGACGACAACGACAACAAGAAGACTCATAAGATAGAGCCGGCTGTTCTATTCCAACTCTCCATCTTCTCCAACATGCCACCACATGGACGAAGGGAAGGAAATGAGCTGAAATCCGTGGACAAAGGGAACATGAACTCAATCCCCATGTGGGGACCCCATACATGCACTACTAGTAGTAGCGCTAGCTCACGTGTATGTTCACGTGACGCTCACAATCCGCTCTCCGGAGATCGAAGCTGTCTGGCATCGCCGCCGCAGTCTGACTTTGTTCCGGCCCCCCCAATCCATCCCGCTTCAACCACCAACAACCAACCCCAGGCCGAACCCCCCCCCTAAATCGCGGCCTCCTCCTCTCCAAACCCTCAACAACTCCAAATCCAATCTATCAACGACGACACGAAAAAGACGAGAACCCACCATCATCATCATCACCACCAATGGCCCTCCTCCGCCAATCAGTCGCTCCCCTGCGAGCCATGCGCTGCAGCAGCGCCGCCCGCCAGCCTGCGATGGCGCGGAGCCTCTCCATGACGACCCGACGACACGGCGGCCACGGCAACGAGTCGCAGTTTGAGCCGCCCACCGGCTGGCTCTGGGGCATCAAGCCCGGCGAGAAGCCCGAGCCCGAAGGCTGGGAGTGGCCAATGTACCTGTTTGGGGCGAGCCTCTTGGTGACGGGCGTTGCGCTGGCTTTCAAGCCCGATACTTCGTGAGTCTTTTTTCTTTTGCCTGGACCTCCCTTGTCTTTTTTGCGCGAGGCAGTGATTTCGGAGTTGAACTGGAGATTTTTTTTTTTGCCTGGGGTTATATGGGGATGGGAGCGGGGAATGGTGGTGGTTTTGTGTGTGGTATCGGCTGCGCTATTTTGGCCTTTTTGTGCGGAAAAACCCCCTCGTACTGACGTGAGACTTGTCTGTTAGTGTTTCGACCTGGGCTCTCGAGGAGGCGCGAAGGAGGTTAGAAGCCGAGGGTGTCCTGCCGGACCCTTCAAGTCAGGAGAAGAAGAACTAAGCGTCCGGAACGTGGTGGGAATGGTCACGCTCGCATAGAGGAGGAGGAGGAGACAAGGGGGGAGACTGGAGGGGAAGAGTCACACTAGACACAAGTTGAAGAGAGAGAGTGTGTGTGTGTGAGAGAGGGAGAGAGGGGGAGCATTGTTGGGAGTTGCCAACATGTACATGTTTACGGCATTTTTTCATTTTTCTTGATTTTGAAGTTTTCTTTCGGAGTGTTTCCATCATCATTAAAGACATAACGGTGGTCCCTCAACGGCAAACGGAGTAATAGAACTGGGTTGTTGGACGAGTATGACTTCCTTCTCGATTGCACTGCCAGATGCTCAATATGTGACGGGCAAACTCTACTATACGCTAATCAAAATACTTGCTCCCGCTACCTATTTTCCCACCTTTTCCCTCCTCTAGAACCAGCACTTTCTTTATACCTTGACGCTCCACTCGTGCTCAACGTCGCCGTACTGAATGGCCTCCATCCACTCCTTGACCTTGGCCGCAATCTCGCCCGACTCCTCCGTCTCCTTCAGCCCGCAGTCAACAAGCTCGCCCTTCCAGGAAATCTTCCGGATGGGGCTCACAATGGCGGCAGTGCCCGCCCCGAAAGCCTCCAGCAGGCGGCCCTCCTTGGACGCCTCGGCCAGCTCGCGCATGGTGAACTTGCGCTCGCTAATCTTCCAGCCCTCGGGCGCCAGCCGCTCGCGCGCAAGCTGCAGCACCGAGTCGCGCGTCACGCCCTCGAGGATGGTGCCGTCGAGGGGCGCGGTGACGAGCTCCTTCTGGCCGGTGGCCTTGTCCTTGAGGACGGCGAACATGTTCATGGTGCCGACCTCGGTGACGTACTCCTCCTCGCCAAAGAGCCACAGGTTCTGCTGGAAGCCGCGGCTGGCGGCCTCCTGCTGGGGCACGATGCAAGGGGCGTAGTTGGCGCCGAGCTTCTTGTCGCCGACGCCGCCGGGCCAGGCGCGGACGGCGTAGTTGGTGGCCTCGAGGGAGACGGCCTTGAAGCCGGTGGGGTAGTAGGGGCCGACGGGGGAGGCGATGACGAAGAGCAGCGCCGAGCCGGGCGCGCCCACGCCGAGCGTGCTCTGCGTGCCGATGAGCGTAGGGCGCAGGTACAGCGAGTAGCCGCGGTGGGCGGGGATGAAGCGCGCGTCCAGCTTGGTGAGCTTGGCGATGAGCTCGATGAGGGCCGTGGGCTCAAAGGTGGGCAGGGCGATGCGGGCCGCCGACTTGTTGAGGCGGGCCATGTTCTTGTCCGGGCGGAAGAGGCGAATGTCGCCGTTCTTGTCCCGGTAGGCCTTCATGCCCTCGAAGCACTCAAAGGCGTAGTGGAAGACGCAGGTGGCCGGGTCCAGGGACAGGTTCTGGTAGGGGGTGATGCGAGGCTCCAGCCAGCCGTCCTCTTTTGTCCACTCAATGGCCAGCATGTGGTCTGGCAATGGAAGTCAGTCTATGACACACAAAGAATCATGAGAGGGACGGATACGCACCGGTGAACTGCTTGCCGAAGACGAGGTCCTCAGGCTTGGTCAGGGCCTTGGGCGTCTTGGTCGTCTCGATGGTGAGTCTTGAGGCGTCCAGAGGCCGCTGTTTTGAGTGGGAGGCGGCCGCGGCCTTGATGCTGTAGAACCGGGCAGGGCGATGCGCGGGGAGGAAGCGCGAGGCCCTGGATGCGCTCAAGAGCGCCGTTCTGGGGAAAGCTGTTCGCATTGTGAGGCTGGTCGATATGTCTCTTAATCTGTTCTCTAGTCCAATTGCGTTTCAGGCAGTGCGGTTTCGAGATTCTCAGTCAAGCAGCGATCCCGAGCCAACAATCGAGACGCAGGTCCGATTCAAGATGCTCCGGGCCAGATGTATATATATATATATATATATGTAGAGAGAGAAACAGAGTGATGGCGGAAGATGGCGAGGCCGGAGACAAGTGCAAAAGCAGTTCCGTGGCACCTTTTTGCGGGCTGGCATCCAAATGCCCGGAGCGGTACCGGAACTGGCTGGCGGGCTTAGTCGTGCCTGACGGTACCAGCAGCCCAGGCACACGCGCGCCCCGTTCGGCGGTACCTGATACCTCAAACCTCTTCTTATTAGCGCCGGTCGTTTGCTTTGACTGTGGCTGCTCTTTCGATCAAGACCCTGTAATATTAGTCCTAACTCGTGGGAGGTCGGATAAGCCCGAGGGTACCCGCACAAGCCGAGTTGGGCCGCCACTTGGTCTTAGTCTATCGTTATAGAGACTCATTCGGGTTGTTTGCTGTAATAAGCGGACGCGTGAGGATGGCACCGATATAGGACTCGGTGATAGATGAGGTCTCCTCTACAAGGGGACAAGCATGGCCACCCTTTTCGAATTATCAGCATCATTTGAGTATTCCCACATGGCTACTACCTATCTATACGGAGCAGATCTTACCAGTTGATATCTTACAAGAACAACTGAACTTACCTAGAAGATGCATCGCTCAACTGTCTTAGTCAGAATGCCGAGAAAGCAAGCAAACGTGGCTTGATGCTGTGGCGCAGTATCCAGCTCTCTGATAGCATTGTAACATGATGCTATCAGTGGCTACGCAGCCAAAGCGACGGTGGCCAATCGCTAAACAGCTACTCGTACGAATGGATAGCATCAACCGAGTTCGACGCCCAGACAAACAACCTGCAGCCTTCGTGTCATTCGTTGCTCAGCCTCGCCCTCACCCACACAATCCTCCCGCATACAGTCCTTACGCAAACATCGTTTCAGCTGCAGAGCCTTGCTTGCACGTCCAAATTGCGCTGGCGCATTAATCATTACCACACTGCCATCTCGCTGCCTTGGCGCATCCCGTTATCGTCTCTCTCCGTCCGTCGTTGTGCTCGAAATGACCTCTTAATCACACCAAACTGCCCGCCCCCTTCACGCCAAGCACCATGTTCTCCTCCGCGCTCAAGACCTTCTCCGGCACAAACATCTCCTCCAACTACACCATCTCGCCAAACCCAACGTCGACGGCCGGTCCATGGAAGATTTACGATGCGAAGAAGAAGTCCACCGGCAAGGCGTACAGCGTCTTTGTCTTTGACAAGAAGACCTTGGACGCACACGCCAGCTCGGTTGGGAAGAGCAATGCCTCCTCCTACAAGCGCAGCGTGGAAGAGGTGGTGGAGCGCTTGAAAAAGGAAGCGTCCAGCTTGGCCAAACTGCGGCACCCCAGCGTCCTCGAGCTCGTCGAGCCGGTCGAGGAGACGAGGGGCGGTGGCTTGCAGTTTGTGACCGAGGCCGTCACTGCGTCGCTGTCGAGCTTGTTGCAGGAAAAGGACGAACAGGAACGCTCCGGCGGCCCCGGCGGTCGATCGAGCAGATACGTGACGGAAGAGGCCGATGGCTCTCGCAGGAGGAGGGAGATTGAGATTGACGAGCTGGAGATTCAAAAGGGTCTCTTGCAGATTAGCAAGGCGCTGGAGTTTTTACACGACAACGCGGGGCTCGTACACGGGAACCTGACTCCGGATGCCGTCCTCATCAACGCCAAGGCACGTCACAACCTGAATCTGGTGAATCTGATCTGTAAGAGCGGCAACGACTAACCGTGCTGTATAGTCTGACTGGAAGATTAGCGGACTGTCTTTCTGTAGCCCAGCAGACAACTCGACCAAGCCCACCTCGATCCAGGGCATCAGTCTGCATGAGGTCCTCAACCTAGATCCCAGGCTGCCCAAGTTTGTCCAGCTAAACTTGGACTACACCTCTCCAGATTTTGTCATGGATAACAACCTCACCCCTTCTGCCGACATGTTCTCCCTGGGCCTGCTGTGCGTTGCTCTGTACAACTCGCCACACCAGTCGCCGATAGAGTGCCACGGGAGCCTCTCCTCCTACAAGAGGACCTTTTCATCGTCCTCCACCGTGCCGACGACATCCAACAACTACCTCTCATCCAGGCCACTGCCCAGGGATTTGTCCAACCATGTGCTCCCCAAGCTCATTACTCGGAGGCCCGCGCAGAGAATGACGGCCAAAGAGTTCCAACAAAGCGAGTACTTTGACAACGTACTCGTATCCACCATTCGGTTTCTGGATACCTTCCCTGCAAAGACTCCAACTGAAAAGTCACAGTTTTTGCGGGGCCTCAACAAAGTGCTGCCGTCTTTTCCCAAGTCTGTGCTGGAGAAGAAACTTTTGCCGGCGCTGCTGGATGAGATGAAGGACAAGGATCTCCTCTCTCTGATCCTGCAGAACGTCTTCAAGATTCTCACCTTGCTTCCGGCTGCGCGGAGGGCATTTAGCGAGAGGGTACGACCCGTCCTGAAGACTGTCTTTGTCGAGAACGCGAAGCAAAACCAGGAGAAGGATCCAGCCCGAGACGCCGGCTTGATGGTCTTCTTGGAGAACATTGCAGTGATAGCAGACAACAGTAATGGCAAGGAGTTCAAAGATGGTAAGTGGTCTGATTCGCAGGGCTATATCGCAAGACTAACACGCCTGTGCCAGACGTACTGCCGGTCATCATAGCAGCCATCGAGTGTCCCACCCCCTCGATTGTTGATGTGGCCCTCAGGAGCTTTTCTGTCGTGCTGCCCGTGCTGGACTTTAGCACCATCAAGAACGAGCTTTTCCCCGTTGTTGCCGCCGTCTTTAGTCGGACCAACAGCCTCGCCATCAAAGTCCGCGGCCTTCAGGCATTCGTCGTTCTCTGCGGCGGCTCCAATGATTCCAGTGTCGACGACGGAGGCCTGAGTGGTTTGCAAGGAAGCAAAAAGACGTCGTCATCCAGCGCTCTGGACAAATACACGATGCAGGAGAAGATTGTGCCTCTGGTCAAGGGCATCAAGACAAAGGAGCCTGCCGTCATGATGGCCGCGCGGGACCTAATGTACGTAGTCGGGCAGACGGCCGACGCCGAGTTCGTGGCCATGGACATCCTGCCTATCCTGTGGACCATGAGCCTGGGGCCGCTTCTCAACCTCCAGCAGTTCCAGTCCTTCATGGACCTCATCAAGACGCTGTCACGCAAAGTCGAGGACGAGCAGACGAGGAAGCTGCAGGAGCTCTCTGGCTCGGCCAACGGCTCGACGGCCGCTGCCAACGAGGACTTTATGGCGTTTGGCGGCGTGACGGGCACCGCCTTTGACGCGACCAATGGCGGCAACGAGGACGATTTCGAAGCGCTGGTTAAGGGGAGAAC